GTTGAAGATATCAAAATGCGGTTTGCACCAATCAAAATTTCAAGAAATTTGAGCTTCGGAGTGGGGGGTTCATTCTTTTGTATCTCGCTCAGAAATTGACGTTTCCTATTAAAACCATCCAAATTCGGACACCCTGTACAGCTTAAACAAACAACCGAAGACTGGATCTGACAATAGAGAATCAAAAAGTGGAGAATGTATAGACGTATCAGGGACAGGGAGGCCTCTTTGTTAGCGTCAGCTCGAAATTTTCATCCTTTAACACTAGGGTTAGGAAAAAAGCTTGGATGACTGATGAAATCCTCGACTTGACGGAAGAGAGACGCCTGCAAAAAGACCAGCCAGCATATCGCCAGTTGAATCGTGGAATAAAAAACAAAGTCAGGGTTGCTAAAGAAATTTGGCTAAAAGAACGGTGTAAGGAAATCGAAGACCTCGAAGCACAATATGACAGTTTTGATATCCATAAGAAAATTAAAGAAGCTGCTGGTGTATACAAACCTCGACAAACCGGCATTCTATGGGACACTCAAGATAAGATAATTCTTGATATCAACGACAATGTAAAACAGTGGTGCAGCTACATCGAAAGCCTTTTTCGGGACGAGAGACTGGACATTCCTATGAAGAGTATTCACGAGAAGGACTAGATATATTTAGGGAAGAAGTCCAACACGCCATTCATTTATCCAAAAACAGGAAAGCTGCAGGTCCAGACGGTGTACACAGTTACTACACGCAATAGTGAAGCTTTTCAATATGGTTTTTCGATCGGGCATCATTCCCTCTGACTCGCTTAAATCAACATTTGTGACGCTTCCGAAGAAAAGTTCTGCAAAAAGATGTAGCGATTATCGCCTTTCAGCTTGATGAGCCACTTTCTCAAGATTTTTCTGAAGATCATAAATAAAAGAATATACGCAAAGTGCGAGTCCTTCACGGGCGAATCCCAATTTGGTTTTAGTAACGTTTTTGGCACGAGAGAGACCCTGTTTAGCATCCGATAGTTCATAGATGTAGAGATGTTTCTGTTTCTGTATACGTTTGCTTCGTAGACTATGGAAAAGCATTTGACAGGGTACAACATGAGAAGCTTATGAAAATTCTCAAGGATGTAGGGCTAGATAATAGAGAACTCAAGATAATCGCAAATCTCTACTGGAATCAAACTGCACAAATCAAGGTAGACCAACAAATGTCTGACGAAGTACGGAGAAAAAGAGTTGTCCGGCAGGGTTGCATCCTTTCATCATTACTTTTCATTATTTATTTGAACAAAATATTTGAAAAAGCATTAGAAGACTAGACTACGCTGAGGGAATTTCTATCAACGGCGTGAACATTATCAATCTTCGGTATGCGGACGATACGGTTTTAATCGCTGATTCTCTGGAAGGTCTTCAAGTATTACTCGATCATTTGGCTACTGAAAGTGAAGAATTTGGATTAAAATTGAACGCCAAAAAAACTAATGCGGACATATAGGAAGATGTTAAGAATATCTTGAACGGATAGAGTGCGCAATGAAGATGTGCTAACGAGAATGTCAAAAGATCTTAAAATTATGTTTATGCTCAAAAAGCGAAAGTTAGAGTAATTCGGACACATACCCAGGAATGACGAATACCTACTTCTTAAGCTTATAATCGAGGGGAATATCGATGGCAGAAGAGATTCTGGACGTCGAAGAATATCTTGGCTAAAGAATTTGCGTCAGTGGTATTGCGAAACCATGATAAGTCTATTTAGGAAAGCAGTCGACAAAGTACACATAGCGCTGATGATTGCCAACGTTCGTAGAGGACAAAGCACTTAAAAAAGAAGGTGAATTGAAGGAATATCGACACCAGGTCACATACCTAATCCCCATCAGCAGTATCGATTGTTAAAGAAGAAAATATGTTAGCTGAAGAAGCCCAACAACAAAACAAACAGTCGTATCTACAAACGTTATCGGATCGAAGGTAAATTAAGCTTATGCAAGTCCAAAATCACGTATTTATAGGAAAACAAACTGATATGATATTCGTATATGTATTGTCACAATAAGCTAAACGTCCGCCAGGCTGTCAAGAACCGATCGCGGAAATACTAGAATCTAGCGAATTATTATACTTTAATCTGGAAAATTAGATTATCGTGTGTATTCTAGATTTCACAGGAATAGATTTAGGGATATATAAGAAGGCCGGCATTGGTTTGTAAGTTAGTTTCAGTTCGAGTGTGATACGATTTAAATAGTGATTGTAAAGAGTTTAATTGTTGAGTTTGTTAATAAAGTAATTAGTGTCAGAGTGTTTTGTTAAGTGGAATAAATTATTGCTGTGTTAATTGGACTTTGATTTTTGGAATAAACGAAACGAACAACGAACCCAAGATTTTTGTCAGCAGGCAACCCAAAGCCGCGACAGTATTAAGTTATCTATATCATTCTCATCATCTGAACGTACCTACCTACCTCAAATAGAGCATGCGAGACAGTTTACTGGCCTATGAAAAATGATTATGTTGGGAAGATGCATCGTGAGCCCGGCGAGATTCTAAGAATCCAGTTGTTTACGCCTAGAGTGCGTTTATTTTAGAAATTTTAAAGTACCTATTCGAGGAAAACAAGACTTCTTGATAAATCCGGAAAACAACTAGAGGCCGAAAATTTCATAACTGGAGTTGAGGAAGATGGCCGAACACAGAATGCTTTTCATTGCCAAACCTTCAAATAAATAGTAGTGAATATCTAATCAAAGCCGTAGAAACCGAGGTGGCCTATAATGAAAGAACGTCATAATTAAAGAACTTCTGGAAGCATTACGGAAGGTTAGTACCACAAGCATGAGCAATAATAGGGGCCTTGAATGTTATCGCTGCGGAAGAAAGGGCACATTTCAAACTCAACTGTTGAAAATAACTGAGATCTCGCACTCATTTTTAATGACTCTCTGCCTTGGATTGTAACGATACGATTTTCTGAACAAACATCCCTCTAGTGAGCTGCATAACAGAGCAGATGCCTTATCCAGCCGAGCATGCCCAGATCAAGGGAAGAACTGCCTCAGAACTGAAAGAGCTCCTGTCAGAAGCTTCCGATTTAAAGCATTTATATTCAAAATAATTTCATGTTTTTATTTCATCATCAACGCCGTATTTCTTCAAAGGCACGGTTATGGTGAAGCTAATGTAAAAGCTAGAGCATTGCTGATTACAAAAGGCAGAACAATTTGATAATGACATCTCAAGGGATCTCCAGCACAAATGCTGTTTGGCCGACCCAACAAAGCTATGTATTTTCTACCAAAAATATAAGAAAATAGCTAAAAGCTATGATCGCCGAGCCTACAAAGGTTTTCTACCAAAAATATCAAAAAATAGCTGAAAGCTAAGATCAAAACGCTGAAGATTTGAAACCTCTTCATAGGATCGAAATTAAGATTACGAAATTCATTATCGAAATTATGGGATAACTGCGTAGTTATACATATATCATTGAAAAAAGAGTGGAAAAAAAAATAGAAGATTTTTGAAACCCCTACACAGTCAACTTGAAAAGTGCGGAAAGATAGGAAGAGTCAATGAATTTTACTAATGGTCCAGGTTACAGTACCGTTTACCTGTTGATATTTCCTGTTCTCGAATTATCGTTTAACTGAAGAGAATTAAAGGAGGTGGTGCTCATTGATTTTTCACCCATGCCGCACCCATCTTTGCTTTACCAGCTAGTCGGCAGCCCTTAAAACGGAATACTCCCTCTTGTATCTATAGCTATATTAGCTATAATGATTATATACCATTTTTTACTCTTTCTTCTTCACAATCCGTCCCCTCTCCTTTTTTGAGAAACGAAACTTAAGCAAATTCGCTAATTATATTACACTGCACCAAAACTCATCCAACAAACACAATAATTAATAAGCACCTACCCAATTATTATTTTTTCAAGCAACACTATATCTTTGGACTTTTTCAAAATAAGCCTCATCTTTCTTTATTTAGGTAATAGTCATTTGAAGTGGTGTTTAATATTCTTGCCTAAATACTAAATGTCCGATTTTCAGCAATAGCCAGCATTTTTATTACCTATACCGGGTGGTCCTCCGGGAATGACATCGATTGCTTATGGGAAAACTGTGAAAGGTAAAAATTTGAAAATTTGGCAACATAGCAATGTCGATGGGGGACATCTAGGTAAAATATTTTCAAGATGGCGGCATTTCCGGTCATACCGGAAGTTGATACCAACTCGGTTATTTTAAATAGAACACCCCATATATTAATGTATTTTTGGATTCTACATAAAATTCTGAGCAGATTTCATGTAATATACCCTATACCTAAGTTCAACTGTTTTGGAAATATTGACAGTTGAAAATTGACTTTTTGCAACTTTGACAAGCTGTAAAACCTAATTGGTTAATTTTAGAGGAAAACCGATTTCACATTCCTATCTTAGATTTTTATAAACTATCATTTGACATCAACTTTGAATTAAATCCATGATTAAAAATTTCAGTTAAATTTAATCTCCGTTTAAGTTCAAAGTTGGTGTCAAATGATAGTTTATCAAAATCTAAGATAGGAATGTGAAATCGGTTTTCCTCTAAAATTAACCAATTAGGTTTTACAGCTTGTCAAAGTTGCAAAAAGTCAATTTTCAACTGTCAATATTTCCAAAACAGTTGAACTTAGGTATAGGGTATATTACATGAAATCTGCTCAGAATTTTATGTAGAATCCAAAAATACATTAATATATGGGGTGTTCTATTTAAAATAACCGAGTTGGTATCAACTTCCGGTATGACCGGAAATGCCGCCATCTTGAAAATATTTTACCTAGATGTCCCCCATCGACATTGCTATGTTGCCAAATTTTCAAATTTTTACCTTTCACAGTTTTCCCATAAGCAATCGATGTCATTCCCGAAGGACCACCCTGTATGTTCTCTCGCTATTGGGCTATGGCCTTCAACTAAATTTGATGATTATTTAACTAGCTGTATTATTTAGGCTAGGAGAAGAATACCAAGCTATTTCCGATAAGGCATTGAGCATCCCTAATAACACTGCCGAACTAATGGACCTCATAAAATACGTAACCGAAGTGGAAACTGTTATGTTATACCAAATGGAAGATCGTCTGAGAGAAGTCATGGATTATATGCTGTTTCTTTCTGATCATTGCATATTTACTCCGGTGGAAATGAAACAAAATAACATAACATTTCATTGGTTAGTCTGAATAAAATTATTATATTAGTATATGAGATATACAGGGTGTTCCTAAATATATTGTACAAACGGAAGGGGATGATTTTTTGTTTTTTTTTTCACGACTGAAATTTCTAATTAATATATGTCCACAAACGGTTCGTTAGGGATCTACAGGGAGTTGAAGTTTCGAAGTTTTTTTAGTCATTTCTTCAATGTTCCTGCAATTTTCGAGGGATTTTGATCAAAATTTGGAATATAGGTTATGCGATAGGAGCTGAATGATTGCACATGTCAAACGTTTGCCAGAATCTACAGGGTGATAGTTTTTCAGGAGTCATGCCCCCTGTTCTGTCCCTGAACTTTTTCGCTCTGCGCCGCTGGTCGATTCTAACAAACAAATTGATGTTTCTACCTTATTTAGAAACTTTTTGTCCTCTTGTAGTTTTTCCGAATCATCGACCCTTATCGAGAAAACAATTCCCTGTAATTAGATGAAAGTAATTTCTTTGGAATGTTCTAGTATGCTACAGCTTTATTTGGATTATTTTTCGTTCCTGGCAAACGTGTAACATGTGCAATCATTCAGCTCTTATTGCCTAACCTATAATATTCCAAATCTGAGCTAAATTCCTCAAAAATTGCAGGGGCTATACAGAAAAAACTACAAACCCTGTAGATCGGAAACGAAGCGTTTGCGGACCTCTGATTATTTGAAATTTCAGTCATAGAAAAAGAACAAAGAATTCCCTCCTTCCGTTTGTAGATGATGTTTCGGAACACCCTGTATATCTTAATGTTATATGACACACATTTATTTATAATGTGTGTCATAAGACATCAAAGTGCGAATTTTATAGGAATGTAGATCCTGTTTAGAATTGACTAAGCCAGGATGAATAAGATTTTCCATATATTATGTTTTTCTTGAGTGTTCAATTCTAATCTTTATATCTGGCTTATCGGATTGAAATTTTTTAACCTACCTACTTAAGCCTCTGTAAATTATTTAGGTATTTGCATATGCCGAAAGTGATCGAAGAACACCGGCAAATGATCGATGTGAAAATGGAAGAGTTCCAGGCGCAACTTAACGTTAAAATTCAAAAATTTCAAGATGATTTGGAAATGTATGCTAAAATGGTCGACGAGCTACAGTATAATGGGAATGTGGATGATTTGCCGCGGTACCATAGGAAAGCTTGCAAATTGGATGACAGGTAATAGCTATTTACCTAACAAGTGCGGAAAATGAATTTTTTCTACTGACGTTTCATAATAACAACTTTTCGATTGTCATTTTAGTTTCAAAACGACATTCTTTTAAGCACTGAGTGCGTGAAAGTTACTTTTAGGCACTCAGTGCGTAAAAGTGACTTTTGAATGCGTAAAAGTGACTTTTAGGTGCGTAAAAGTGATTTTTAAGCACTAGTGCCTAAAAGTGTCATTCATTGTTCAGAAATAAAAAAACACACTAAACACAGATTTGAATTTTGATCTGTATTTATTATGAATATTAAAAATTAAATTATTGAATTGAACGTTTGGGCTACTCAAAACAGAACTTTTTGTTGTTACCTACTTTCCAGGATTTTAATTATTGATGTCGAATCTTGAAAAAAAATCCCATCAGGTGTCAAGCAAAAGCAGGTAACAAAGATTTTGGGCTTGATCGGCTTATTCACATGAAATAAAATTGTGTTTTTTTATTATAAAAGGCCAGTAGAAAAAATCTTGTATGCAATACGTTACGAAACGATGTCTTTTAGTCACTCGACGTGTTGTCCAACTCGGCTTTGCCTCGTTGGACAATTTTCACGTCGCGTGCCTAAAAGACGCTCATTTCGTAACTTATTGTATAAATAGCTATTTCCGCACGCGGCTGCCGTTCGCCGAGTGCGGAAAAATATTTTCCGCAAGTGTTAGGTACAATATTTTTCCTACAGGCGAAAAAATGTAAAATTTTTTCCGCACTGACAGCCGTGCGGAAAAACTTTTTCCGCACTGATATGTCAAAAAAAAAAGTTTTACCGCACCGTGCGGGAAAACTCATTTTCCGCACGCATATCAGTTCGGAAAATCGATTTTTCCGCACGGCTGTAGGAAAAGGTTTATTCCGTTTAAAATGTATTTTTCTCTCCATACATGCTATAAAATTTCCTCCCTTTTCCGAAAACGATTTCATAAAATTCCCATTTATATACAAATCCAATATCGGCGATGTCGAAGATGGATTCAGGGCCATTTTCTATTCACTTTCAGTTTCCGATTATTTATTTTTTTCCTCAAATGAAAATTTTATTAAAAGATTAATTTTCATGGTATTTTTTTTTCTAAAATAAATAAAAGGCAATTTATGTATACACCACATTGAAAATATCTTAGTTGTTAATGCTAGTTACACCTCATCAAAACAGAAAGAAGAGATGGCTAATGCCCAATATATCTTGAATCCTGTAATATAAGTACCTATTTTTAGTGTGAAGAGTGAAAAATTCCTATCTAGTCCAAATTTATCATAATTATTAAGACTAAGTTTTGCTAGTTGTTACGGGATGATTTTTCCTGGGTTGAAATGAAAGGAAATAAACGTATTCGCCTCAATGAATAGCATACCTTCGTCAAGCCACTGTTGTCTTTTCAATAGTTGTGGCCAAACTTTTCATCAAACTTTTCATTCTTCCCAGAATCATTAAGTTAGAGGTTTATTAATGGGATTCATTTCCTGTTAGTAGGGTTAAAATAAATAGACAATTAATTTATTAACAAACAAAATCACAATATTTACATTAGAACAGCTGATTGTCTGATCGGAGTAGATTGTCTAGATTGACAGCGCACCAAATAGGGTCAATGACCGGTACTTACTTAATCTGAATAAGTCCCATGCCCCAACTACCATCAAAATTCCCCAGTACCTTCCACCTTGGAGTTTTGACAGAACCTTTTTAAAGGACATTGCAGGGACAAGCAGAGGTCATTCAGGTCGAGGACTTTCCACGATTAAGTGTTCGGGAAAACTCCTCAGGCACATTTTGCCGATTTCTGAGTTGCCAAGTTTCGCTCATAGATCTAGGGTGGCTAATCCGCTATTTTAGCACCCAATCGCCTTGTGCAGATTTTTTTGTGAGTCGAAAAAGAGCAACGTGGTCAATTGTTTGTTCCTAAAGGCCAAAGTAATTTTGGTAAGTGGTTTTTCTTATTAGTCTTCTCTGTGTTTCTCTATTGCCTATGTAAAAAACATAATTTTCTGTTAATAATATGGTTAAATTCCGAATATTGGACATACCTACCTATTGCTCCACGCCCTGTCTCATAACGTCCATTTGTTTCAGGCCTTTAATCTTCACCTTTAGAAGTTACGCTTTAATCTTTACCTTCAGACGTCACCTTTATTCTTCACGCTTTAGTCCTTACTTAGAGTAATAAGTTATACGTCAAGCTTACTGTATACTTCAAGTCGTACCTACCTCCTATCTTCAGCCTCCTCTAGAAAATTGGAAGCTTTAGTGACTCCTAGTCACTGAACTTCAGTGCCCAGGGCCAGGTTGCTTCTTGTTGCGGCCCTGATCCAGTCCCAGGCCATTGGAGACACTGGAAGATATTGATCCCACCTGTCAGGTTCTCCCCAAGAGTTTAGGGACTACTCAGGTTTGATAAGTGTGTTGTAACGTCCTAATATCTGAAGCCTATGAAACCTTACCAACCCCTTGTTGGAGTAAATCACCACAACAACGCAGTTCTACAACAATATTAAATTATCCATCAGATTATGTGTTGTTATTTCAATTTCTAATTAATTCTCTGTATTACTTTTTTTTTTTGTTTATGAAACTTACCATTCAGGTTATGTATTGTTAAGTACTTCAATTTTATTAGGTATTTAGGTATCTATACTACCTATATTGTTACATAATATTAAAGCCCTTCAGGTTACGTATTGTTACTTCAACTTTGATTAATGCTGCACTGAATACAGGTAAATACTTGTACACTGGGGTTAAATGGCCATTTACGAAGGTACTGCATTTAGTAAGCTTGTCTATTAATTATTTATATTTCAGGTATTATTGCTGTTATATAATACTCTTTGCTTTAAGGGACTCAAGTTGAGTTAATTTATTGTAAATACTATTACTATTTTTAGAGTATATAAGGTTAGGTACTCCTAGTTTCTAGACGATTTCTTTTCTTCTCCGAACCTGCTCTAGAGTCAACCTGTTCTGGGTTACATTTCTACTGGTTCTAATTAAAACCCGTACCTGATTGTAACAAAGCGTTTCACTTTTGTCCTTCCTTCTTGTTTACATTTATATTTCAGGTAGTGCTGCTATAGGTCCGTAGAAGTTTCCTGCTTTCGTTATATCGGTTGATTTCGTGTACTGCAGGGAAAAAGCAGGTGGCGCTCTATATTTAGTTATTTAATTAACCCACACCCCTCTCCGCATTGGAAGCTAGTCGGCAACCCTTTACACGAAATCACGTTTCTAGATTTCAGCCACCAACCAACCTTTTCTTTCTCTTTTTACTTGTTTTTGTCTTAGTTACCCGTTCACTTCAGTCACTCCCTCAGAGTTCATTATTTACTTCTCCCTCGCGTTTTGCGGGTAACAAAGTGGCAGTGTCCGTTTTTGCCACTTAATATAGTGACATCTCTAGAGGTTGGACATTGCCTTGAGACATTCTTGTTGTCTTTTTAAAGGGCTTTGTGAAGGAAGATCCATAATTGATTCAAAATTATTTTAGTTTCGTATACCTCAACGCGTTTCAACTTTAAAAAAGTCGTCTTTCAAGGGGACTAAAACAAAATTACAAAGTTAAAAGATTTTTAACAAAAATCCAGCAAAAGGACAACAAAATTATTAATTAGAGAATGGTTACAGGCTAGGTCGGTTTCTTCTCTACTCTCAAAGAATGGGCTCCAAAGGACCTAAATCAAAAATAATATTCAAAATTATTTATTTCCAGATTGGTCAACGCCATGGAACGTATCGATCAATTCAACGAAGAAGAAGCAGCGTTCAATTTCGAGCTCTCCCAATATCCGTTGCGTAAACAGATACACGAAAAATTGGCTCCGTACAAAAAGCTTTACGACAACGCGACAGATTTTATCAACAAACACGAGCTCTGGATGAAATCCAGAGTCGGTTCGTATGATCCGGAGGAAATTGAAACCGACGTCGGCACCTATTTTCGAAATATTTACAAATTGGAAAAGGTATTCGCGGAGAGACCGGCGACGCTCAACTTGGCCACAACGGTTCGGACGAATATTGAGGAATTCAAGGAGAACATGCCGATTATACAGACTTTGGGGAATCCTGGCATGAAGGAGCGGCACTGGGAAAAAGTATCGGAAATTGTTGGATTTCCTATTAAAGGTATTTTTTGAAAACAGTTTGAAAATCACTCAGACAGCATTTTGCGAACAAACAATAAAAGTTCGAGCTCCAAACCGACTGTTACTTACTATACGATGAGTTTGTGTTGTTCTGGTCACGGCCACATTACACAACACCCATGGTTTCGACACAGCTTTTTCGTTCTATAAGACAAAATTCTCAATCATTGGATGCCGCGCTAATTGCATACCGGTGTCGAGCTTATTAGCTAGGGTCAGTGAAATATGCAATATACTCAAGAAAAAGTCAATCCAAATAAATATAATATGAAGACAACCAGCTATAGGGCTTAAAAAACAGATACAGTGAAACAGTAGTGAAGTAAACGCATCGTGAATTGAATGTTGAACGAGTGGCGAATTAGTAATCTGTTTGAGTAAGGGTAATCATGGAAACATTTCAACAAGCCGTTGATGTTACTGCTTTTCAGAGACAAGGGTTGTAGAAAATATCGAGGGCATTTAAGTTTACATAAGCTTCCTGCCAGCATAGGTTATTCTATCAAGCCACCATTTCCAGAAACTTGTCTGGACTGCTGATGTCATTTATGTCTTTTGGTTGGTCGTCCGATCGTTGATTGGGAAAAAATCAAAGTGGATCCATGAATTTCTAATCGAAAATTTCTTTGTAGAAATCTTAGATGATTGCTTCCTTATCTGCAGTAATGTTTGGTTGTTAGGACTTTTTTTTCCCTTGTTCCAGGCCTGTCCGACTTATTGTCTCTATGCAGCACTGAAGCCTGAGAAGGCTTATTGTATCCAGTGCCTCGCAGTTCACCAGGATGTGTCTGGCTGTCTCGGGTTCCTTATTGCAGAGTCTGCAATCAGGGTCTTCGTCGTACAGGTTCATCCTGTTCAGGTGGAACTTTACTGGTGTGTGGTCAGTCAAGAGTCCCGTTATGGTTCTCAGTCGGCTCCTGCTCATTTGTAGCAGTTCTGCAGCCCTTTTGCTGCATGGTTGGTCGATAAATTCCCTACCATAATTCTGCTTGGGAGTTGTCCAGTGTCGTCGATGTTCTTCAGGAATCCAGTCTTTAATGTGGCTTCTGGTCATACTTTTTGGTATACCTAGAGCCGGTTCTGGCCCAATTAGTTTGCGAGTTCATCAGCTTTTTCATTGCCATCGATTCCTCTGTGTCCTGGTACCCAGATAAATTTCATTTTATTCTGGTCCGCCAGAGCGCTGAGTTCTTCTTGGCATTCCCATACTACACCTTTTGCATATGTATTTCAGAGATCGTCAGTTTAATTTCAGAATGCGTCAATTGAAATTCAGATTAGTAAATTGTATTTCGGAAAGCGTCAATTGTATTTCAGAATAAATAATTTTATCTGGGAAAGAATCAATTGTATTTCAGATTAGTTTATTTTATTTCAGAAAGTGTCAATTGTATTTCAGATTAGTTAATTTTATATCGGAAAGCATCAATTGTATTTCAGATTAGTTGATTGTAGTTCAGAAAACGTGAATTGTATTTCAGAAATTGTCAGATGTAGTTCGGAAATTAGTAGGTATCTACGCAGATTTCCCCAAATCAACACAAGATAGGTGTATAGGTGACTCATTATAAATTTTATTTAATACACTACATTGATAATATCTGAAATACATTTGACGAATTTTGAAATACAATTTACAATTTCTTTACAACAACTTTTCCATAAGTATTTCAGAATGTATCACTTGTATTTCAGATTCATCAATTCTAGTTCAGAATGCGTCAATTGTATTTCAGTTGTGTAAGTTCAATTTCAGAAAGTGTTATTTGTATTTCAACTTTGTCAGTTGTAGTTCAGAAAATATCATTTGTGTTTCAGATTCGTCAGGTGTATTTCAGAAAAAGTCATTTGTATTTCAGTTTGGTCACTTGTATTTCAGAAATCGTCATTTGTGTTTCAGATTATTTATTTGTAGATCAGAAATTGTAAATTGTATTTCAGAATTCGTCAAATGTATTTCAGATATTATCAATGTAGTGTATTAAATAAAATTTATAATGAGTCACCTATACACCTATCTTGTGTTGATTTGGGGAAATCTGCGTAGATACCTACTAATTTCCGAACTACATCTGACAATTTCTGAAATACAATTCACGTTTTCTGAACTACAATCAACTAATCTGAAATACAATTGATGCTTTCCGATATAAAATTAACTAATCTGAAATACAATTGACACTTTCTGAAATAAAATAAACTAATCTGAAATACAATTGATTCTTTCCCAGATAAAATTATTTATTCTGAAATACAATTGACGCTTTCCGAAATACAATTTACTAATCTGAATTTCAATTGACGCATTCTGAAATTAAACTGACGATCTCTGAAATACATATGGAAAAGGTGTAGAATTGATGAATCTGAAATACAAGTGATACATTCTGAAATACTTATGGAAAAGGTGTAGTCTTGATGACACTGTCTGGCTCGAAAGGGCCTTCAGTGCCGCTTGTCTATCAGATATTATAAAGATCTGCCTGTTGGCTGTCGCTCTCCTGCTGTTCTCCGCTGCGCATTGGAGTATAGCGTATACCTCTGCTTGAAAAACAGAGGCATGTCTTCCCAGTACATAGTGATCGCTATAGTTAGCCTATACCCCTGCTCCGATACCAGACGTGGTTTTCGTCCCGTCTGTGTACCAGGTCAGGTCTTGTTTTTTAGTCTACGGTATGCCATGTGCCCATTCAGTTCTACTTGGGAAGCTCACCTCGAATGGTCTCTTCAGGCAGTATCGTCTTGGCATGTAGTCGGTCCTCATGTTGAAAATCTCTCCCCCCACGAGTTTTACGATTGCCATGTGTCCCGTCCTTTTGTTGGAGGCGGTTGTCGGCTATAGTCTGTATGTCTGTACGCTCCCATCCTTGCCTCCCCCTGTATCACTAAAATCTGTTTTTTTTTTAAAGATAAAAGTCAAACTGACATTATGTTGGCAATACAATGTAAAATTGTCAATGCTTTCAAATTTTTTATGTAGAAAAGGCTTGTGTTGCCAACATAGTTACTAAATTTTTGACTTGGGGAATTATCTTTAAAAAAAAAACGCACTTTATGTGTAAAGGTGCGAGGTCAGGGGCCTTATTCTGTAAGGAACGAACTGTTCGATTCGGTAAAATTTCTTCGATTGTGACGTCATTTTCGGTCTGGTAGCGCGAAAACCAAACCAAAAATGACGTCACAATCGAAGAAATTCTATCGAATCGAACGGTTCGTTCTTACAGAATAAGGCCCCTGGGAGGGTCTCCATGAGTGCTGTGGATCGCATTGTCCCAATGACATCAAAACACAGATAGACGGATCATCCCATTCATAAACTGATATTTGTTGTGTTGACAAGACCACCCATGGGCCAGGGGAGGTGAGTTGCTCGCGAGGTCGGGGTGGGGAGACATCATTGCTCAAAATGGTATAAAAAACCCCGCCCACACGTGAATATATCTCAAAATTTAATTGGATGAATAAATAAAATAACAAATTGACAAATAAAATGAAAATATTCGATCCGAGCCCTTTATTCTGGGAGTACCAATATCGTATTGGTCGTTTCTTGTTTAACGCTAATGAATAATCCCTGTTTGCGATAAAGATAGCTAGCTACTCCAACCAACACCTGCCTGCCATTCAACAAGCCGCTTCTGGGCGGTGTTTTGCTACAATCTGCTGTTGCCAAATTGAGTTCAGAAATAAAATTGAAAACGTTAATTAGAAAAGGAGAAAAATATATTATTTAGGGATTCAAGACAAAATTTGGCATTCTCAGTGGTGGGGATAGCACAACGACCCAAAAGAGACAGAGAGATGTTGTCATACGAAAATTTTGTTTATTGTTCCGTCTATCTGTGTTTTGATGTCATTGACCCCGTTATTCCTGAGCAGGCCAGTCTTTGTACTTTGCTAAGTTGGCGTATGGCACTTCCTTGCAGTGTCTTAGGTCACCATACCAGGGAGGCGTATGTCAAGATAGGTTTGACCATCATGTTGTATGTCCAATACAGCATCATGTCCGATCTTAAGCCCCATAATTTTCCGTGCAAGCGTCTGGCTATCATGAGTGATGTTACCGCTTTTTTGGTGATGTTTTCCAGATGTTGATTCCAGGCAAGTTTTGAGTCCAGTGTTACCCCCAAGTACTTGACCTCGCTCGAAATCTGTATATTTTCACCCCTAATATAAGAGGTCCAAGGTCATGCCACGATAGGCACGATGGTGGATTTGTTGGGACTAATGTTTAGCCCTTCTTTATCCACCCATTTTTTTGTTCGTTCTAAAGCGTCTTGCATTCGTTCCCTAACTGCAGAGTTGAATTTACCCCGTGAGATGATGACTATGTCGTCAGTATATCCGAGGGTACGGTGTCCTCCGTCAGTGAGCGCCTTAAGCAGGCCGTCCGCCACTAGATTCCACAGGAGAGGGGATAATACCCTTGTGGGCATCCCCTGTACACCCTGGCGGCCAGTGTCTCCTCTGCGATGGTGGTTTCTACCATATTTCTCTTAGCATGGACTTGATCCACACACAGCAGTGCCCGATTTCTCGTCACCGGGAAACAGCTTTCTCTCAAGAGAACGATTGCTCTGGGTCCCTATTCTTGAAACAGGGGGCAGCGTTCCCAGGAGAACGATTGTTCCGTCTTTTTTAATGATATGCGACTGATAATGTAAGTAGCAAAGACGGAACACTCGTTCTCTTGGGAACGCTGCTCCCCTGTTTCAAGAATAAGGACCCTGTTCTAGTCACCCATATTGTTATTTCCATAATACTGACAAGACAGAGCAATCGTTTTTTTGAGAGAACGTTTCCCGGTTACGAGAATACGGGCCCAGGTATCCTCAACTCCTTTGTGCTTGAGAGATCTGGTTATTGAATCGAATGAAGTGTTGTCAAAAGTTCTCTCTATATCCAAGAAGGAACCGAGCATCACCTCTTTGATTGCCAGTGTGGTCTCCGCTATGCTGACCAGCTGGTGAACCGCTGTTTTTGTTGACGTCCTTGTCCGATACGCATATTGGTCTGGGTGTATTGGCCTGTTTGCCAAAACACCGTCCCTAATGTGCCTATCCACAAGTTTTTCCAGTGTCTTAAGCTCAAATGATGTTAGACTAATGGATCTTAGAGAATTCGCCGCGTCCTGTGCTATATTTCCAGATTTTGGTATGAACGATACCTTAATGCGCCTCTAGGCCTTTGGTATATAGCCAAAGGCTAGGCTACTTCTTAGAATGTTACATAGTATCCTGTTTGCAAGTTCAGTTCCGTCTAGTAACATAAGGGGATAGATCCCATCTATCCCTGTTGACTTATATGGGTCAAAGGTGTTTATAGCCCATTTGACTTTTTCATAGTTGACTACTTTCTTCGAGGTCAGCCAGTTATTCCTGGATGCTCTTCGAAGTCTAGACTCATTCCATGTCCATTGAGTCTGATCAACTATCTTTGAGTCGGGAAAGTGGGTTCTTAGGAGTTCCCTAGCCGTCTCTTTCCCCGTCTTTGTGTATTCACCAAGGTTGTTCTTGAGTGTTTTGATTGTTGTCTTCGAGTTCCTTGACAGAGTTCTTTGTAGTCCAGCACAATTTTGAGTACTTTCTATATCCTCACAGTACTTACTGCAAGACCTCCTCTGAGATCCTCTGAGTTCTTTCTTCAACGTTTTCAACGTGCTTCTGTATGTCTCCCACTGCCCAGTTCTCATGGCTTTATTGAATTATGTTCTAGTTTTTTTTCTTCAACTTTGCAAGCCTCTCGTTCCACCAGAGCACTTTCCTAGTGGATGTCCCTGTTGTAAGTGGGTAATTTTCATTGAATGCTAAGATGATTGCATCATTGAATTGATCCACAACTATTTTTTTTTTATATCTCCAAGTCTTCAGTGTTCCTTATTGTCTTCCCGATATTCGGCAGACTGTACTCCATACTCTGTATCCAGAGGTCAGCTTTGTATGCGTTCCAGTCTGTATTTCGAGGGTTTGATAATTTACCGTAGTTGTTTCCCCTGAAATTTCAAATTTGATCTATCTGTGATCCGCGCAACTTGCCTCATCAGATACATGCCAATTTGTGACGTAATTACTCATATTATTATGATTTGAGGCTAGTGTCACATCGATTACCTCTTAGTCCTCTCAGTCTTTCTCGCCGTCGCCTTATTCTATGTTTGAGGTTTGGCTGCAGTCCATGCCCCTGCAGCCATCTTCCTCGCCTTCGTGAGCCTTTTTCTCTCGACCCCAGAGATTCTTCCGCTCTTAAGTCCAATATTTTTGATCTTCTCAACTAGCGAATCAGCGTCTTTGGTTTTATCCTCTGACTTTATTGGAGCTGAGTCTTTGATTGGTTCTCCGTGCATTGGACTATCAGATTCTTCTACTGAAGCTTCTCTGATAGTTGTTCTAGAAGGGTCCGAGTCAGAACCTGACTCCTCCTTTTCGTTGGTTTGTTTTTGTTTTTTTTTTTCTGTGTCTATTTTGTTCCCACGAGTGATGGGGAAGGGTGTGTCCACTTCTGTGGAGTCCCTACGCAGAAGTAAGGCTAAATACTCTGGGATTTCACCCGGTTTCCCAGAGGCTCCATTTACGGCGGTGCAAACCCCACCGCCATGCATTCCTCGGCACGGATTGCTCAACACCTTGGATTGGGTCTGTCTTGAGCTGTCCTTAGCTTCGCTGCTGTCGCAGCTACTGAGCCCCCCTACCAACGACAAGGTCTCACTGCTCCTCGGGGGGCTGTTTGGATTAGTTTAGTACCTTAATCTTATCTTCCATTTCCTCCTATTATCCGTGTTAAATTTTCTCATGTTTTCTGAGATGTTCTACGTTTTAATACTGGCTTATCAGGGCTCTTTCTCCCTATTCTTTTAATTGTTATCTGCTGCTCTACGATATTTGATCAAATGCTTTGTATTTCTAGCTCATCTCATTTTCCTCTCATCTTATTCTCAATCCAAAGCCATAGCATTTGCTGTTTATATTACACCTACTAATGATTGATTTCCGCAATTGACTTTCCCTATAGATTTTGTAGCTTGTGCGTATTCTTTTTTTTGTCTCCAGTGTTTTTTGCGTTAGGTTACCACTCTTCTTCTCTGTTGCTTTAGGTCAATATGGCACGGCTACTTTCAGTACAGAATCTGTGGAGGGGTTTCTGGTTTCTACATCATTCACTACATATCCGTTTGTTATTTTTTAGGATAAAATCAATCTTGTTTAGTGTTGTTCGCCAAGTCCGATTTTTGTTTATTCTTTTTCTTGACGAATGTTCACAAGTTTCACTACATCAAGGTTCTTCCTCAATAATTAGTTAATTATTTCAAACTAATTTTTCTTTTTGCCCATACGTAGTAGAGATGAGTGTCTGGTCTATGAGCAATAAGGAGCCTTCAAAATATCTTCGTGAAACTGATTGGTTCGGAATTTCTCGCTGGCCAAAGTAGAATGATTTAATTGGATAATTTCGTTCGGAAATAGTTGCAAAAGGGCTAGGAATGGTTTCAAAATTGGCATTCAACCTCGCGGTGTAGCCGAAAGTTAATAAGTTGATGCTCGATCGCAACAAATATCAACAAAGCATGGTTTGCGCAAAGTACTTTTTTCAAATTTATACAAACCACTATAATTGGTATTGCTTTCTAAAAAGGATTTTCAAATGAATATTAACAGCCATTACTCCCTAGTTTTCTACCTTAAAACATGTTTCAATAATTAATATCAACAAATTGATTTTTCAGTTGACGATGATCTGACATTGGAAAAAATCATTGATTACGGCCTCAACGACTACATTGAAAAATTCGAAGCCATTTCTGAAGCAGCCACCAAAGAAAACAATTTAGAAAAGACCTTGCTGAAAATGATATCCGAATGGGCAGACATGGAATTCACAATTTTAGTGTACAGAGACACTGGTACTTATATTTTGTCTGCCATCGATGACATTCAAGTTCAACTCGATGATCATATTGTGAAAACTCAAACAATGAAAAATTCACCTTACATCAAACCATTCCAGAAAGAAATTTTGTATGTAGCAAAATTTTTCGAAAGACCAAAATAACTACCAAAATGTTTCAGGAACTGGGAAACTAAGCTTCAACTCCTGCAAGAAATCCTGGACGAATGGCTCAAAGTCCAAGCTACTTGGATGTATCTAGAACCAATTTTCTCCTCTCCAGACATCCAACAGCAAATGCCTGAAGAGGGAAGAAGATTTAGCGCTGTGGACAAAATATGGAGGGACCTAATGAAGACTGTATTCAGCGATCCAAAAGTCTTATCTGTCGTGGAAATTGACAAGATGGCCGAAAGATTAAAAAAGTGCAACAGTTTATTGGAAATGATCCAACGAGGACTTAACGATTATCTAGAAAAGAAGCGTTTGTATTTCCCAAGGTTTTTCTTTTTATCAAATGATGAATTACTAGAGATTCTGAGTGAAACTAAAGATCCTACCAGAGTACAACCGCATTTGAAAAAATGCTTTGAAGGCATTGCAAAATTAACCTTCACAGAAGAACTCGATGTTACCGAAATGAGATCTAGTGAAGGTGAAGTGGTACCATTGCCTGACATTATCCAAACAACTTTGGCAAGAGGCCAAGTTGAAAAATGGCTTGTCGAACTAGAAACCGACATGAAAAAAGCAGTACACCTCATGGTACAAAAATCAATTGAAGATTATCCCAAACGACCTCGAGACAATTGGGTACTTAAATGGCCTGGCCAATGCATACAAGCAGTTGGCAGTACTTTTTGGGCATCGGAAGTAACCCAAGCTATCAACGAAAGCGCACAAGCGATGAAAACCTATTTGTTGAAATGTAACAGTCAAATTGCCAAAATTGTAGATCTAGTTAGAGGAAAATTGAGTACGCAAAACAGAATTACTTTGGGGGCTTTAGTGGTATTGGATGTCCATCAAAGGGACGTTTTATCAGTGATAATTGATTTAGGCACAAGAACTGTTCATGACTTTAATTGGTTATGTCAGTTGAGGTATTATTGGGAGTCGAATCAAATGGTCGTATCAATGATAAATAGTACTTTGAAATATGGCTATGAATATTTAGGAAACACTACAAGATTGGTAGTTACTCCTTTAACTGACAGATGTTACAGGACTTTGTTTGGTGCGTTACACCTACATCTGGGTGGGGCTCCAGAAGGTCCTGCAGGGACAGGGAAAACTGAAACCGTGAAAGATTTGGCAAAAGCTGTTGCTAAACAATGCGTGGTCTTCAATTGCTCAGATGGTTTGGATTACATTGCTCTGGGCAAGTTCTTCAAGGGGTTGGCTTCCTGTGGAGCTTGGTCTTGCTTCGACGAGTTCAACCGGATCGATTTGGAGGTATTGTCGGTGGTGGCTCAGCAAATTTTAACTATACAACGTGGCATCAATGCTGGACAAGAGAAATTCTTCTTTGAAGGTACCGAACTCAAACTGGATCCGAGTTGTGCTGTGTTTATAACTATGAATCCAGGTAAGAATTTTTTGCTTAGGTATTTGATTCGTTGCAAGATTGAGATAAGTAATAGTCCTTGGGCCCAGATCTAAATTTTTTATTTGTGACCACACCGTCGAAACTTTTTGTATTTGTTATTTGGGCGGAGTCGGACAAATTTTGAGCTCGGCGCATTATGGTAGTGGTGCGTTTGTCTGTCAAGCTGTCACGAAGTTGTCGATTTTATGCAAGAAAAAAATTTATGACCACATTGGTAATTTTTTTTTAATCAATAGTTTTTATCACATAAACAACGAAAAAAAATGTGTCGGACAAAAATATTGGGGCATTCGACGCGTCGGACACGTTGAATATGTCAAATTTATGGGAAAAAAAAAATTATTACCACACGGCTGATTTGAACAGAATCTGCCATAAAAATATTTTACAATAACGTGGTAACCTTGTCGGACAATTTTCACGGGGCATATGCGCAGTCGGATGCGCCAAAGATGTCAATTTCCTGCAACAATTTTATTTACGACCACAGATGCAATTTTTATTTTTTACTGTTTCTTTACATGTGTAACGCATATCGGATCAATTGTCGGACAAAAATAATGGGGCGTTTTGATACAATTTAAAAAAAAAGTAGGTAATTTTTGTAATTTTTCACTTCGTCACTTTTCAAAATTATCAGACGCAAAATTAACAACAGTTAAAAGAAAAGAATAAATCAATCATTTTTCCAACAATAGCTAATTCTAAAATAATTTAACTAACTTTGAACCCTTGAAAAAGGAAACAATAAAATTTCCGAAAGCTCGGCGTTTGTGAAAAACTAGTTTTATTTTTGTCAAGACTGAATCCCAAGAATCATCTCACTTATTAAACAAGCCAGTCAAGAATTTCTACATCTATAATTTATAGTATATATGCATACACGCACATACCCACACACCTAAATGTTTTATACAGGGTGAGTTACTAAGAGCGCGGTGGTCCCTATCTCCTATACTAACCGAGATCGAAGAAAAAAGTAAATACAAAACTTGTAGATAAACATGAGTGCTATTTTCCAGTATACAGGGTGGCTCAATAAGTAGTGGTGACACAAGGCTATGTTTTTTTAAATGACTAGCCCTGTATATTATGACATTTCTGGATTCTGCGGAAAATTCTAGACATATTTTATGTACAATGTCATATACCTATTTTCAACTGTTTCGGAAGTATTGACAGTTTAAAATTGACTTTTTTGCATCTTTGACAGACTGTAAAACCTAAATTAATTTTAGAGGAAAACCGATTTTACATTCCTATCTTAGATTTCCATAAGCTATCATTTGACACCGACTTTAAATTTGACCGAAGATTATAAAGGACCCCGCAATATTTAAATGGAAATTGGTTACCCGTGATATTTGGATGAAATTTAAATATGTTATTGAGGATGCTGTAAGCAACATTTTTTACCATGGGCACAACCCTGTGTATATGACAGGTGAGGCGTGGTTAGCTGTCAAATATTGGAATCTTATATCCAAAAGCAGAGTAACTATGAGAGATTTTGATGAACAAAAAATCTATTTCTACTAAGTCGACCAAGTAAAGTCGCAAAATGCCAACCATTTTGACACCTGTCAAAACCCTGCCAGCACTCATCTTTTCCAGTTTTCAATATTTCATGATGTCATTTGACATTTTTAACTTGTATGTAAATTCTGAATTCAAAAAATGAGAAAAAAATGACAGAACTGTCAAAACCTATCATTTGTTTTAGTAGAAAAAAATACTCTAATCTAATTGTTTTTTGTTTCAAGGTAATTTATTGGTGATAAAACATTAAACAAAGTTGATGCATGTCACATTTTGACACTTGTCAGAATCTGTTAATAGCTTTTTGGTTGATAGAGTTTGTTTACTTAGTGAATAGAACTAAACCAATTTTATGCCCTTTGTTGAACTCCACTAAGTAAACAAACTAAATATAAACCAAAAAGCTACTAACAGATTCTGACAGTTGTTAAAATGTGACATGCATGAAGTTTGTTGACCTAATGTTGTATCACCAATACGCTACCTTGAACTAAAAAAAAAAACAGATTAGAGTATTTTTTACTACTAAAACAAATGACAGGTTTTGACAGTTTCGTCATTTTTTTTTCAATTTTTGAATTCAGAATTTACATACAAGTTAAAAATGTCAAATACCATCATAACGCGAAAAGATGAGTGCTGTCGTTTGGCAGGGTTTTGACAGTTGTCAAAATGGTTGACATTTTTCGACTCAACTTGGTCGACTTAGTAGACATCAATACTTCGTTCATCAAATTCTGCCATAGTCACTCTGCTATTGGATATAAAATTCCAATATTTGACAGCTAACCACGCCTCACCTGTCATATATACAGGGATGTGCCCATGATAAAAAATGTTGCTTAGGGCATCCCCAATAACATATTCAAATTTCATCCAAATATCACGGGTAACCAATTTCCATTTAAATATTGCGGGGTCCTTTAAGCGGAATTTTTAATCATGGATTAAATTCAAAGTTGATGTCAAATGATGCCGGTGAAACGAGCGTGCGGAAAAGTATAGTTTTCCGCACGCATTTTAGGTCATGAAAGTATTACTTTTCCGTTATTTTTTGATACAATTTTTTGATACAATTTTTCCGTACTAGTGCTTTTCCGTTATTTTTTGATACAATCAGGGACGTAGCGAAGGCTTCTGGTTTGGAGGGGGGGGTGACATTCTTAATTTTCCCAACTTCATTTGCCATATAAAAACATATAGTCAACCATCCAAGGACCTTTTTTTTCACTTATACATGTAAACCTCATACTTTGTGAGTGGCTTGCTTACATCAAGTCCTACAACTTTTCCTCTACGACTTTTCTCGGAAATGGCACGTATGCGCGCAGGCGACTCGCAAACATTTTAGGGGTATCGGACTCCCCCAATTTGCCATTATTTTTGTCGGCCAAGTTGATTTCCGTGATTTAGAAATAAAAATCAAACATTATTCGTGAAATTAGATTTTCATGTATCAAGAAACATAACCACGTCAGATCGACATTTTGGGGGTATCGGACTCCCCCAATTTGCCATTATTTTTGTCGGCCAAGTTGATTTCCGTGATTTAGACATAAAAATCAAACAGTATTCGTAAAATTAGATTTACCTACATGTATCAGGAAACATAGCTACGTCATCCACATGTTTGCGAGTCGCCTGCGCGCATACGTGCCATTTCCGAGAAAAGTCGTAGAGGAAAAGTTGTAGGACTTGATGTAAGCAAGCCACTCACAAAGTATGGGGTTTACATGTATAACTGAAAAAAAGGTCCTTGGATGGTTGACTAATACGGTATTCTATTTAAAAAAAAAAAACATAAAATTTGTGATTACTCTTTTTTGACTTAAAAATAATTTAAGGTTATAGCAGAGATGAAATGCTAAAACTTTTATACAGAACATTTTTCCATAAGTTCAACGGTTCGGCTACTATTGACCGAGGCGAGCTTATTGGACTACCCTATATTATATCATGGATGGTAGAGGTAGATTGATCTGACCTCTGGAGTGCGTTTAGAAATGGAGTGTGAAGGTAGAGTAGCTGCTTGTCAGAGTGTTCTGACGTCATTACTTGGAGTGCACTCTGGGTGCGCTATTTCTGAACGTATTGGGGCATTGCGGTGAATGTCAATGTCATAGAAAAGTGATTTATAAATTCTTAAATAGAACATTCACTGGATTCATCCCCTCTACTTTTTGTTTTACTTCGTGACTACACCGCTGTGCGCCCATGTCGCCGTTTCTCAACGTCCCCTTCGTTCTTATTCTAATCCCTGACTTCACCGATGAGTTAGCTATCTTTGTTTAGTGAATAGAAAATGATAATGCCCGATATAGAATGGTGGATATAAAAACCCTCAGTAAAAACCAGTTATAAAAACGGGTTACATTTAACATCATAATGCATAGGTATCATAGAATTGGTCAATGTCATGAATCACGTCAAACCCGGTAAAAACCAATTTAAAAACCGCGGGGCGTTTTTCAACCCAGTCCCCGACTGGGGTAATTTGGGCGCACTCTAGGCACGTCAACTCTCGATTTCTGAACGATTCCAGCGTAACGCTCCGAGTAAGCACCTGTTAATTTATGAACGGTTTAGAGTTACTCTAGGGTCACTATCACACCCAGAGTGCTATTTCTACACGCAACCCTGTTGTTAAAGAAGTGCATTTATGTTATAAATAGACACTTTAAGTTAGACAAAATACGTTAACGCTAACGTAAGATTTGGCAGCTGCGCATGCGCAGTTTCTTTCCACCAAGAATAGCGTATTACGTGTCACGTTAGACACTTTAAGGGCCGGTACTTTTGCTCTCGATTAACGAATTTGATACGTTGTCAAAGTTTTGCATGGGCCAAGGTCTATAAAGTATGATGTGGTTAGAGCACATTCTAAGCCCTGATTATTTTTAACGGCTGTCAAATGACAGCAAAAGTACCGGCTCTGAGTTAGACAAAATACGTTAACGCTAACGTAAGATTTGACAGCTGCGCATGCGCGGTTTATTTTCACCAAAAATAGCGTGTTACGTGTCACTTTATTTAGCGGGTCTTTGCGTGTACCTTATCCGTTAACGTTAAGTAAACCGAGTGGGCCCGAAAGCCAGATTTCCGGTGTCGACCTTTGCCGAATGTATTTTAACCTTAAAAAAAAAGGTGTCATGTAATTCAAAATAATCAAAATACCAAAAATTATTTCTAATTTGTCCTTTTCACAACAAAATTTAAAGGTTAGGTCATGATTGTGAGATATAACGTTAACGTTCACGTGAAAATTTAACTTAAACTGATGTGTGAGCACCAACAGTCACTCGACGCTATAGTAACAAATAGGGTTTACGTTTAAAGATTGCGTTAACGTCTCTTAAAGTGTCTGTTATTTAGCGGGTCTTTGCGTGTACCTTATCCGTAAACGTTCGTTAAACCGAGTGGGCCTGTAAGCCAGATTGCCGATGTCGACCTTTGCCGAATGTATTTTAACCCTAAAAAAAAGTTGTCATGTAATCCAAAATAATCAAAATACGAAAAATTGTTTCTAATTTGTCCTTTTCACAACAAAATTTAGAGGTTAGGACATGATTGTGAGATATATAACGTTAACGTTTACGTGAAAATTTAACTTAAACTGGTTTATGAGTACCAACGATCACTCGACGCTATAGTAAAAAATAGGGTTTACGTTTAAAGATGAGGTTAACGTGTTTGGTCCAACTTAAAGTGTCTAATAAGGGCCTATTTCTCATCCGCAGTTTTTTTTTTTTCATATGGCAAATATTGTCTTGATTTACAGGTTATGCTGGTCGATCCGAACTACCCGACAACCTAAAGGCCCTCTTCCGATCGGTAGCCATGATGGTACCAGACTACGCCCTGATAGCCGAAATCGAGCTTTATGCTTCTGGATTTTTGGTAGCCAAACCATTGGCAGTTAAAATTGTGGCTACATACAAATTATGCTCCGAACAATTGTCATCACAGCATCACTACGATTACGGCATGAGAGCTGTAAAGTCCGTACTAAGAGCAGCTGGAGCCTTGAAGCTACGCTATCCTGATGAAAAAGAAGATATTCTTGTTTTGAGGTCCATTAAAGATATTAATTTGGCCAAGTTCTTGCATCATGATGTGCCGCTGTTTGAAGTAATAAGCATTTTATTTTCAATTTATTATTATAATCCAGTAATTCTTTTTAAGGGAATAACTTCTGATTTGTTCCCCGGAGTAGTTCTTCCAGAACCCGATTATATAGTTCTCAATAAAGCCGTAGAAGATACTTGCAAAGCCATGAACGTCCAATGTACTCCAATATTTTTGGAAAAAGTCCAACAATTGTACGAAATGATTGTTGTAAGGCATGGTTTGATGATTGTTGGATTACCGTTTGCCGGTAAAACCACTGCCTACAGGGTGTTGGCTGATGCTCTGGGTTTAGCGGAGGAGAGAGTAAGAATTTATTAAAAAATATGGGTTGGTATTGAAATAAATTTCCTTGATTTTTGATATGTAAAAATATTTGTCGGCGGCATGAGGGTAAAACTTGGGAAATAGGGATAGAAGTGTGAAAGCGGATATGCGCGGTGATTAGTGCGCAGCTACTTCAGCGCTTGCTGGAATAACGTTACATCTCAAGTCATTCAAGAAGTTAATTTTTAGTTCTTTGTCAAAATTAGTATTATTATTATTATTATTGAAAGGGATGTTTAGTGTTGTAGCATCCGCGCCAAGTATTCTATTATTTAGGTTAGATGGTAATTGCGAGCGGTCGTATTTAATGGTAATTATTTTTTTGGGCAGCTACTGTAAAATAAAATTTTGGGGGCGGGTCTATTTTCAAGTGAAAGAAACAACTGATGTACGGTTATTGGTTAATAAATATACTTTATTAATGAGGAAACTACATTAGGACCATTAGGTTACAATAATTTTTTAACCAAAACTCCTACATTTCAAAACATTACAATTATTAAAACGTCCATTTCTATAAGCGTATAAAAACCCATGATTTCGCTTACTGCCATATTTGTACAAAGCTTTACTCAAAACTCAGCCAGAGTGAATATTAGTGCAAATCATTAAACATGTAAATTAATTCTTCACGATCTACACTCAGAGATAACTGTACTATCTCAATTTAATATTACGCACTCAATTTAAATTCTTAGAGTTCAAAATATTTAACTATAATTATCAATTCAATGTTCATTAAGTCTCTTCATTAGACAGAGCATACAGATTCAATAGTCATTAAAATTTTCTTTTTATACTAAACCAAACAAACAGAAACTATTCAAAAGTTCACTCAAGGTAATAACATATTTGCGAAGTCCCATTTTTAATTTACTTACTTCATAGTCATTTCAACATTGATAAAGTCAAAATAAACGAGTCATTAGAGTACTTACATTTTGGCCTTAAACCACTAAATTATGCTAATTTAATTCTTTTGATTATTCATAGCTCGCACATAATGTTGAACGAATTTAAATGTTCTTTCTTTCACAATTTTCGTTATTAAATGTTCTTTCTTCCACAATTTTCGTTACTTTTCAAAGATTCGATCTAACGCGTTTTCCCGAGGCAACAAAATAAGAGAAACTCTTCGCGAATTTTATCCGGACTGACTCATTAGGTACCCACTGTACACTGTAGACTGAAGACTCAAGACTTTAAGCTGAATTGATGTCTGAACTGAACTGCTTGTAAACTTCTAAAACCGCTGTTTTTTTTTATTTTTCGTTTCCCCCAAAAATTTGAGGTCATGTCCATTCATTGACCGTTCTTCTTTTCTAAGAAATATAATTTATTCGTTTAAAACTGAATACCTATGTCGCAATTTCCTGAAATTATCGGGGTCAACAGATTCCATATAACAATGTAAGGACATATAAATCAAAGGATGTTTTTATTTTTATGAAATCTGTCATTTAGGGCAGGTTTATTCACCATCTGATAAACTGTCAGTTATGCAATCTGGCGGATAAAAACGCAATCTGAAATCCCATTGGTCAGCCAGTTATCCGCCGACCAATAGAATTATAGAACGGTGAATTTATCTTGCAGATAGTTACCAGCAAGTTTATCTGAAGATGAATAATCCGGGCCCAAGTCACCAATTTAATTACTTTGGCCTTGTTTTCAATCTTTTCCTGGTTTTGATTTAAGAGTTCAATGTGATGACACGCGGTTGGTCACTAGCTATTAAAATTTTGAACGTATTTTAAATAATTTATTAATTTGTCTTGTAAATTATGGGTCTATGTTTCCCAGGTCATTACAGTGTCTCCTCTCCAGACAAGCGGACTTGCTCATTTTTTTTTTGCAATTAGCATGACATTTAATTTTGTCGTAAGTTTTGTAGGTGTTATCCTAGTTTTAAATATTTCTGAAAAGTTATGCTCTTTTCTATATATTATATCTTTTTTTTTTTTAATTTTCTGCAGTCTCATCCAATATTCAGGTTTCAATAGATTCTCACTTTTATTTTTGCTCAATATTTTGTCCTGCTCATCTCATTCCCCTGCCTCATGCCTATTTTGTAATACTTCTAGTTTGGGAAGTGAAAGACCGTATGCTCTGAAGTATCTGATCTGCCATAGTAAACACCTTAGTCTTATTATTATAATTCGCCAATGGAAAGCGTGATCTCTCTAAGGGCCGGTATTATAAAACACTGAACCGATGGTTGAGTTTCAACCTTCCGTTGAATCCTATCAAATTGCATGGAGTCAATCGAAGGTTGAAGCTCAACTATCGGTTCAGTGTTTTATAATACCGGCCATAAGGCTTTCATATCTATTCTATAATATGAAAGTTGAACATTCTCATTTTCCTCGCATCTATCTACCTCTGTCATCCCTGCGCTTTTCTAGTTGCCCCATTGAGAGTTGCCCGCTTGAGGTCCTCCCATGTTTTCAACTATCCAAACTAATTCCAGACTTCTAGGTATTTTATTGCTATTTTTAGTGATATTTCTTTTAAAATGTCCCCTGTAGATCGTTTCTTCAGGATCGAGAGTACTCTCAGTCTTTTCCACTGCTGGTTCCGATTGGTTTTTTAACGACCACTCTTCGTGACATCGATTCTTAGCAGTATTTCGCCCATGAGTATGTAGAACGCCTAGATCCACCATAACATTGCGATTTTTCTAGCCAACGGTGGTGATTTCCTCCGCGGACACTTGAGAGTCCGTCATATAGGATACTCCACAGTTCCAACACTATGGGTCGGGGTCGTAAATATGTCACTGTTATCAGTCTTGTCTGCTCCTTCTGGGAGCAGTCCCAGAATTCTATGAGATATAGGATAGCTCACGACAATAATTTTTAGGCAAGTTGTGGTCCCTTCAAATTTCTATATACCTATTTTATTAATTCCTTACGGTACATACCGTGTTCAAAGTAATTGGAGCCCATGGCTTTTCTGTCTGTAGGTACTTCATTTCTCAGTAGTTTTGTGACTTCTTAATGGCGTCAGACTTGGAGAGAGATTCACTGTAACCAAACCGTCTCTCGGCCAAGATCCCCTCAGGGCTGTCACTGAGAATGAGGAAGGCAGGCAGGTCTATTAGTTATTCTTGTAGGCATCATAGTTTTTTGGTTTTTCGATCACCATAAACTTCGATAGGTACCTTCGATTTTAAGTGCTCTCTGGAGTTGAACTCCTGAAGTCCTTGACGGAATACTTAGTTTCTTCACTCATTGCTGTTTGCAGTACTTCCTATAGTACCTACCTACTCTAATCTCTATTTTTGCTTTCGGCGTAGATACTCCTGCATCTAGAGCGTTTTTGGGAGACTGCCATCTGTGGCTACAGAACATTTATTTTTCTCTTGATGTGATCTTTCCATACGACAGGTAGTAAGCCTCTACTCCTTTTGCTAATTTTTGGCTTCCATGCGAGCATCCTATTTATCTTCAGCCTCAGTATCTTGCAATGTGTCCTGCAACCAGCGTCTTGCAATCCATTCAAGTACCCCATCTCACCTGTTCTTCAACATTTTTATTTACTTTTTTTCCTTGTTTTCTAAAGCTATTATTCTGTTCTAAATTTTGTCCCTTATGACAAAGAAGACAGGATTTCGATGTTTGATTCGACTATATCTCGCATTTTGTCATGTATAGCGCAATAGCTGATTAATTTATTTATCGTTCTTAGTTTTTCCTCTTCTATCCTAGTCCTATTTCAACGCATGGGATAAGCAACACCAAAGACGGATGTGAATGGTTTTGGTGTCACTTTGGTAATCTCCTCGGCTGATGTTGATTTTTGTAGGTCATGTGAAGATTAACAATATCTGTACAGAGGTTAATAATGATGTTGGCATATTATCTGTAACCCATTCTGCATTCTCTTTCTCTTAGGGCTGTTGAAAATCCTATTTGATCTACAATTCACATCGAACGCTTTATGAAAATCAAAAGGAATATATTGAATTGTTTTGTCAATGCACGGTTTTCAGACTTTGTAGATGGTAATAAATGCCATAGCTAGCAAGAGAAAATCTGCTGACTTCTTGGGTTGGCACAAATCTCACTCCCATTGTCTTTTTAAAGGGTGGCATGGATGAACACCGTGCCATTTACACGGTTATGAATCCAAAATCCATAACCATGGGCCAATTATACGGACAATTCGATCCAGTGTCCCATGAATGGTCTGATGGCGTTCTAGCAGTGAGTTTTAGGCAATTTGCAATGTCTCAAACCGAAGAAAGGTAACAATGTGAATGCATTTTATTTCCCAATTCTACTTTAAAGTTTCGTGATTGAATATATTATAGAAAATGGTTGATTTTTGATGGTCCAGTCGATGCAGTGTGGATAGAAAACATGAACACCGTATTGGACGATAACAAAAAACTATGCCTAATGTCAGGAGAAATTATTCAATTGGCGAATACAACAAATTTGATTTATGAACCTATGGACTTGGACGTTGCCTCACCAGCCACTGTAAATGTTAATTTTAAATAACTAAATTTCTCAACTTATTAAAATATTACTTCAGGTATCCAGATGTGGCATGATTTACATGGAACCCAAATCCTTGGGCTGGCAGCCATTGCTTATTTCCTGGCTCAATACACTGCCACCTTTTATTAACAACGATTTTTATAAAACGATGATTTTTAATTTGTTTGTTCGTTTTTGTAAACCTCTAATTTGGTTGATACGAAAAGGAGGAGTCAGAGTAAGAATTTTACATATTTTTCATACATAACTTAATATCAAAATATTTTGAAGGAAATTGCTACCACTTCAGATCATAATTTGGTTCGATCGACAATGAATCTTTTCGATTGTTTCATGGACGATTTTTATGAAGATAAATATAGAGAACAGGTGTCCGATTTGGACGTAAGGGCCCAAATAGAGGGCTCGTTCTTTTTCGCTTGTATTTGGTCCATGGGTGGCACCTTGGACAATAATAGCCAAAAAAAGTTCAATGTTTTATTTAGGGCTCTATTGGAGAGAGAGTTTCCTCAAAAAACAACCACAGATTTGGGAATTCCTTATGAAATTAGTAAACCAGAGAAACCTTATATTTTCACTTTACCCGTTGGAGAAACCGTGTTCGATTATAGATTTATAAAAGAGGTAATTTTTATTTGAAATTTTTTTGTACAAGATCTTTCGTTTAGTTCTTCGGTAATCAGGTCGACAAAATAGGGCATTTCTTTGTCGATATATTTGCTGCAGAGACAAGACAATGGCCTTTTGAGAAAGTGAAAGAACACCAAAATCGAGAAATTTAAAAGGCAATCCACCGTAAAACAACTTTTACATTAATATGGAGTAAGTACATACCTATGTCCCTGTTCTTCACAGGTTACAGGTTTACATCATAGACAAACCAACATTTGTCTTTCATTTTCACTCGCTTACATCAATAGTTTCTGATTTTTAATTTGTGTCCTGATTACCGAAGAAATATTCGGAGAGCTATCATAATACTTATTTTGAAACGAATTCAAATGGTGATTGTTTAGGGCAAAGGCAAATGGAAACTTTGGTCTGACGAACTAATGAGCGCACCCCCAATTCCAAGGGACATTCCTGTAAATCAAATAATCGTAACCACTGTGGAGACTATTAGAGCCATTGCTCTAATGCAATTGCTGGTGCAGCATCAAAAATCCATAATGCTTATAGGCCCAACTGGAACTGGAAAATCTGTTTACATCACAGTAAGGGCTGTCAGCGTTTTTCATTTTTTGAAGCCAATTATAAATACTTTTAGGACTTTCTACTACGAAAAAACGACACAAAAACCTACATTCCTTTATTTATTAATTTCTCGGCACAAACCACTGCCAATCAAACCCAAAACATTATCATGGCTAAGCTGGATAAGAGAAGGAAAGGTGTCTATGGACCTCCTGTGACCAAAAAATGCGTCATTTTTGTCGATGATATCAACATGCCCCTAAAAGAAATCTACGGGGCTCAGCCTCCCATTGAATTACTAAGGCAGTGGTTCGACCATGAAATATGGTACGATTTAAAGGAAATCGTACCAATGAAATTAATTGATATACAGTTTATGTGTGCTATGTGTCCACCTGGCGGTGGAGGAAATACCATCACTCAGAGATTCTCCAGACATTTCAATCATTTGTGCATTGACGAATTCGAAGATGGTACACTGATTAATATTTTTAGCAAAATTATGTTGTGGCACTTAGACACTAGAGGTTTCTCAAAAGACTTTGATCCTTGTATTGAAGAAATCGTATTGGCAACGTTGGATATTTATAAAATGGCTCGGGCTAATTTATTACCGACGCCTGCTAAATCTCATTACCTTTTCAATTTGAGAGATTTTTCAAGAGTAATTCAGGTAATTCCGCTTAATAAATGGATTCAATTAAAACAAGGACATTTAAAATTTTCTAGGGTGTTTTATTATCAGTGCCTGAAGCAATGGAAGATCTGATGGCAATGAAACGTTTGTGGGTACACGAAGTGCTAAGGGTGTATTACGATCGATTGGTGGATGACAATGATCGAACGTGGATAGTTGAAGCTTTAAGAGGTGTTTGTAGGGATAAATTGGAAGAAGATATGGATTTTATGTTTCAGCGATTAGCCCCTGCTGACGGTGGACCGGTAAGAAATCTAAAAACTTATTTTCTAGTTGTAACATATTGTTACTTATACGGGTTCGCAGATAAGTGAGACTACTTTTTCGAACTTTAACGAATTTTATTAAACACAATAACATAAAAAAAATCACACGAAACTTAACACTACTTTACACTCCGAACTGCTCCAAATAAAGCTTATACGGCACGATTATTTTCGAACGTATGGTGTTTTAGTTCCTGACTTTACAGTTTACTGCACTTGTCGTACGTGAACCAGAACTGATCCTTACGCGGTGCGCACCGGGGCTTTTATAGTTATGTGCGTCCTTCACTAACACGCTCGAATTTTCGTGATTCAGTTCATCTTGGAAATAGTCGAATTTTCTGGCTTCTTTAACTGTAGTTACAGGGGGCAATTAAAAAGTACGAGTGGCGGGTTTATAACACTGTCCCCTTCCTCAAAATTGTTCGCCCCGAACAGCTCATCCCAATCGCATCCAAGTCGGTGCGCTCTTGCCCTTGTATGAAGCCAGCCTCTCCATGTGAACGACCTTGGGTTTGGTTTTGGGTGTAAGTTTTATCCTGTATACCAAGTCGTTGATTTTATTAATGACCTTGTATGGTCCTTCCCATGGTCGTTGCAGTTTCGGACTAAGTCCCTTTCTTCGCTGGTGGCTGATACAACCAGACAGCATCGCCTTCATTGAAGGTGTTCAGTTACTGCCGTTGGTCGAGTCTCATCTTCATGCTGTCACTGGTCAGACGTAGCTTATTTCTGGCAAAATCGTGTACCATCTAAGATGGTCCTGGAGATCAGCCACGTAAACTGGAGGTATTGATTGATGGTCCGATTGTGCCTCTCGACCATTTGACTGTGGGTGAAGTGCAGTCGTCCTCGTTTTTCTTACTTCCAGTAACCTCATCAGTTGTTTCCATACCTCGGCCTCAAAATTCCTTCCCTGATCGGTATGAAGTTCCATCGGTACCCCATGTCTGGTTATGACGTTTTCCAGCAATGATTCCGCAACAGTAACTGCTTCCTGATTGGGTATGGGAACTACTTCTGGCCACTTTGAAAAATAGTCCATAGCAACCATGAGGTACTTATTCCCTGACTCCGTCGTAGGAAAAGGACCTGCAATATCCACAGCAATTCTCTCCCAAGGGAAACCGGACAAGTACTGCTTCATTTCTCCACGGGATCGCGTCTTGGGTCCTTTCTTAGAAGCACAGAGATCGCATCTCTTGCACTACTTCAACATCCCTACGTCAGTTGATCCAATAGTACCTATCTCTTACTCGAGCGAAGGTCCTATTGACTCCAAAGTGTCCGCCACTCCTACTACTGTGCAGTTCTTGAAGCACTCTGTCCACCATGGTCTGTGGCACAACGGTCTGATATACTAGGTTTTTTCCATCTGGACTCTCCCATTTACGAGTGATCAAGTCATCTCGCAGGCACAACGAGTCCCATTGCAGCCAGTATCCCTTCACCGTTTGACTCAAACTGGAAATTTCTTGCTATCCAGGTCGTTGTCCGTCTTGTAGCCAGCCACGCACCATTTTCAATTCATTATCCATATTTTGTTGTTCTTCGAAGTCTTCTCTCGTGATTTCCTCATCAGTATTAGCGTCGTTGTCGGAATTCTTAAGCCTTATTTATTGAACGACTTCAGAATTTTTGGTTGCCTCCTTATGACTCCTTCCTTTGCGATGTTTGATTTGGAAGTCATAACTTTGTAGTTTCTCTAACCAACGCGCTATTTGACCCTCCGGATTTTCAAAATTATTGCATTGCAATGCAGAATAGTCGGTTTTAACTAGGAACTTCCGACCATAGAGAAAGCTGTGGTAATGTTCAATAGATCTTACTACTGCCAGAAGTTCCTTTCAGGTGACACAATAATTCTTCTCTGCCTTTCCAATGGACTTACTGAAGTATCCAATTACTACTTCTTCGCCGTTTTGAATTTAGGAAAGAATAGCCCCTATTCCACTTTGCGAAGCGTCGGTGTCTAACATAAATAGAGCCGCTTCGTAATAATCCTCGGGAATAATAGCTATCATTATTGACTCGTGGTATAATCTACTATTATCCCTGGGATATGCCAGAACTGGAGCACTAGTCAATTTATTTTTCAGCTCCACGAAAGACCGTTGACATTCAGGTATCTAATCAAAACGAGCGTTCTTTTCAGTTAGTTCATGTAAAGGCTTCGCAATCTTCCCAAAATCCTTGACAAACCGGCGGTACTAACTGCAGATTCCCAGGAAGTTTTTAACTTCATGTTTATTCTTTGGTCTGGGCCAATCTCGCACAGCTTGGACTTTATCTGGATCTGCCTCTATTCCTTTTGATGAGACGACATGGCCTAGGAAGTTTACTTTTTCTTGGAATAGTACACACTTCCTGGGATTTAGTTGCAGATTGGCACTTCGAATCCTGGCAAAAGCTTCCTTCAAATTCGTCGAAATCTTTGCCAGTCACCATGATATCATCCAGATATACCATGCACGTTTCCCAAGTCAGTCCTCGCAAAACTAACTCCATCAGTCTTTCAAAAGTGGCAGGTGCATTGCATAATCCAAACGGCATGAAGTTAAATTGATATAGGCCGTTTCCTGCAGTAAATACGGTCTTCTGTTTATCCTCTTTATTGAGTTCCACCTGCCAATATCCACTTCTCAAATCCAGGGATGAAAACCACTTGAATCCTGATAGTGTGTTAAGGGTTCGTCAATCCGGGGTAATGGATAGCTGTCTTTCTTCGTAACGTCATTCAACCTTCTATAATCCACACAAAACCTGGCAGAATAATCCTTTTCCGTAACTAGTACGACCGGCGATGACCATGGACTATTAGATTCTTCTATGATGTTGTCCTTCAGCATTTCCTTAAGCATGGTGTTAACTTGCTATTGCTTTGCGAAAGGGAGTCTTCGTGGTGGTTGGCGAATGGGTGTAGCACTTCCTGTGTTGATGCGATGATCTACCAAATTAAGTTCATCCAGTAATTTTATCTTGCACAAAAACACCAGCCTCTTTCTGCATAAAGTCAATAGCTATCTTCTTTTCTTGCTGGCCTAAGTGATTCCAGCTCTTTTCAAATTTCTCCAGAAGCTCTATTGATAAATGTGCTCCATTTGACACAGGTTCCTTCTTTGCGCATCTGACTACTCGTATAGCTGGTGTACATCTGCCAATGAGGTCTCCTTTCCCCAATGTCACACGGTTTGTTATTAGATTGGCCACTCTCACTGGAAAAACATTGTTGGAATTCAGTAAGCAATATGCGACAAGTGTTCCATTCTGCATGTTTCCTGTTGGTTCCACGATCATGGTGTTCACGCCTTCTAGCTATTTTTCTAGGTGTGCCGCACATTCGACTCACTATTTCCAGGAATTCGTGTATCTTCATCAACGATTATTCTAATTTGACAGGCCTTATTTGACGGTGATGAGAAGAGTATTTCTTCATTGCCCACTCTCAACATTTTATTTTTAAAGTCCACTGATAGGAAATCAAAGGTTTCTAGGACATCCACTCCCAATATAAATTCATCCACTATGTCAGCAACTATCACTTCTACCTTAAGTTCGGTGCTGCCTATTCCCAATGTCACGGTGGTATCTCCAAAAACATTTATCAAATCTCCCTTAGCTGTTTCTAGCAGTGGTTTATTTCTCAACCTCATTACAGAGTCCTTAGAAACCTTGTCGGGGCGAACCACTGATATTGATGCCCTGTATCGATGGTCAAATGACATTTCTTGCCGTTGAGGGTGCCTTGGGCAACGAGACTTTCACAATCCTTCTTGATGGAGAACATCCTTACTTTGGGGTCTTGAGAATCGGTGGTCGCCAGTATTCGCCCCTTTACACTGGCGAGGTGGCGTTTTTCTGATGATGTCTGGAACCACCTTCTTCCTCCGCTTCACGATCCTGAGCGGGAACGTCGCCTACAGTTTCTACTAATATGTCCTTCTCGGCCGCAGTTGTAGCATTTGATCTGTTTTCTGGCTCTTGGTTCTTGGCCTTACTTTGCGCAGAATTCCTGAAACAGCGCCTCCAGTTTAGGGAACATATCTGCGTCTGAGTTTGGGCGATTCTTTGCTATCTTCACTTCCCTGATCTTGCTTCTTCGATTTAAAGAGTCATTTTTGGCAGCCTCATATTCCAATGCATGGACAACGGTGTCAGCTAAGGTGTTATGCCTACTCATTCTCATTGCTTGTTGCAGGTCTGTATCTTTTACTCCATCGATAAAGTACTGGACATTTAGCTGTTCAATAAAGTCTCCAGGAGCTTGTGGATACGCCAGTTTCATCTTTCTCTCGATGTCGCTACTATAAACGCCTGCAGTGTCTCAGATGGACCTTGGACTCTGCTTTTGAGTTGACTCTGCTAGACTTGACTGAGATACCTGTTTCCGTACCTCAGCTCTAAGGCCCCTACAACAGCCGCATAATCACTTTGTTTCGCCTCGGGAATATTTTGAAGAATTTCAAGCGCCTTTCCTTGTAGTGCAAGTACCAATGATGTTGCTTTTTGCTGGTCATCCCATCCATTTGCACTAGCAGCGGCACAGAGTCCCAGAGCTGCTCTGGGACTCTGTGTTTTATAGAATTCTACAGTTCGCTTTTTGTAGTAGATATCTATTTTCAAAAGCAATAGTCGACTGAAACGGCACTCTGTGTCACTATCGACAACAGTTCGGCCACGTTCTCGGATTCTTTTATCATGTTACTATGCTACTAACCATTCGAAAAACGTAGTACAAATCTAGGGGAAACTCTAGGGAATTTTTATTTGACTCTTAAGAAATGTCAATATTATTTATTGTATTGACTGTATACGTCATTAATAAGTTTGTTTTTGTTATTATTTGGTTTGTTTGTTTGCCTTGTTCAGACCTATTTTTGCTTCCTGAAAATTGAGTTTAAAGTTTAAAAATTATGTTTTACCTATTGCCCATTAATAATTTAAATAAGAATATTGTTGAAGAAGATGAGAAGCTTGAAAATATTTGTCTGGAAAATATCCAGTGATGAGTGATGCTCAACAACAGTGACTGTATTCAAAAAGAATATGTTAGATTTGAAGAGCTAATTGAGCAAAACTATAATATTTATGTGACTCAACAAACTATGTCAAGAACAGAGCAATAGAGAAAGTATCAATTGCCATCAGGGTTCAGTTTTCTTTGACTCAAGACGAGAAAAATCTAATTGTAGCAGGATTTATGAAAAACTTAATTTCCCAGGTGTGATAGGAGCGGTCGATGGAACCCACAGTGAGTGAAATTCTTAGACCACATGACGAAAAACCCTGGCTAATGACACCTAGAGAAAACGTTGCTCCAGGAACTCCAGAGTTCAATTATAGCCAAAATCAGATCCAAACTCGAAATTGTATCGGTGTGTTTAAACAAAGATTTGTGTGTACTTCAAAAATGTTGAGGCATGACCCAGAAAAAGTTGGGCGTTTTGTTATTGTTTATGTTATTTTACATAGTAATTGCTCGGAAGAGCTAGAGACCGGATGGTTCTCGAACCTCATATCCGAAAGGGTAACATTCGCGTACTGAGGTACCATATAATGCAACGTTATGCAAGCAGGAATCTAAGAAAGAAACAATGTGATTCGTCGTCATTTTATCTTTATGCACTGATTTTTTGATATGTTATTATAAAGGTTTTAACCATAATATGTGTTCTATTCCGTGTTTTATTTTCAAATAATTTAATAGGGAACTTGCACATCAAATTAAATATGGAATAAATAACAAAACACAATAACAATCATCCTAATAAATGATGCAATTAGGAAAAAAATTTAATATCTTATCTCTGGTGTCCAAAATCTTCAATTGACGTTTTCAATTAAAAGAGATGGACGATAAGTATGAAAACATTGATTTTCCCGCCAAAATTTGCTTGCTTGTCAATGTCAATATGTATTGGGTGTTTAGCAATCCCCTCATTTTTATTTGAATCGGTGACTTCACCAATGAGTTAGCTATCCCCTCGTTTTTATTCTCATCGGTGACTTCACCGATGAGTTAGCTGTCTTTATTTAATGAATGGAAAATGACAATGACGGCCATAGAATGGTGGATCCATCGGAAAAATTTGATGAGAATAAAAACGCAGCGTATCTTTGTTAAGTGAATGGAAAATGACAATGACCGACATAGAATGATGGATCCATCGGTAAAATTTGATAATAAAAACGCAGGGTTTGAAATTGGGAGAAAAATGTAGGAAAAGCACTGCTTCATTCGCAGAACTTCGCTATTGTATGTATAACAACATAACCATAATCTTAATTTACCTGCTTGAAGTTCGAAGTGCTCGTCACTGTGATCGGAATTTTGTTGCCGAGTGACGTCACACTGATCGGTCGTTTCAAATGGCGATGTTTCGAGCGTAACTTCAAATATTTATAAAAAATTAACGGCTGATTTTTAATGCCTGATATTTGGCATGACTATGTCTTTAGTGATTTTTGAATTTAAAAAAAAATGTGCAAGTTCCCTATTTTCCACCCAATACCAATACCCAATACAAAGCTAGTAATTGATAATTTAGTTGTCACAAAAATTGTTTAAATAATATGACCACATATCCTAAACTTTTCAACAGTTTGCCATAGACATTCCCTTTGTTTTTCACTGGATGCCATCAAATTTGTAATTAAACCAGGGTTTTTCTTACAAAACCAAACTGGAGTAACATTTGAAAATGCTCGCTTCTCACTCTCATGACAATGACGATAATATTAATATTATTAATAATATAATCGGAAATCGGCGTCTGTTCGAAATAAACTAATGAAAATATTATAAGTATATAATTAAATAAATAAGAAATAGGAATGAAATAATTATTTCTCAATATAATATGGAATATAAAAATAAACAACAACAATTTCGCAATTGTCAGTGTCATTCATGAAACTTCACAATGCACATGCGTCAGTAGTATTCGACACGTTTCGAGATGTAGAAATGAAATTATAAAATAAATCGCGTTTTGTCGATATTCTTGATGCACAGAATGCCAACCATGTAGAATCTTGTCGACTGATAGAATTCTAGATGACACAGAGTCCCGCTCCTGTTCTTCTTGTTTTTCTTTTGCTCGCTTCTCGTCCGCAAGTGTCAACAAAGCGAGCACCTGGTTTAGCTGTTCTTCCATTTCGGCAGACTGTTTTCTCGTATTTACCATAAATGCAAATTTCTTCACTCACTTATCCCAGTTCTGGCACCAACTGTTACTTATATGGGTTCGCAGATAAGTGAGATTAAAAATACTTTACCCAACTTTAACGAATTTTATTAAACACAATAACATAAAAATCACACGAAATTTAACACTACTTTACACTCCGAACTACTCCAAATAAAGCTTATATGGCACGATTATTTTCGAACGTGGTTATTTAGTTCCTGACTTTACAGTTTACTGCACTTGTCGTACGTCAACCAGAACTGGTCCTTACGCGGTGCGCACCGGGGCTTTTATAGTTATGTGCATCCTTCTCTAACACGCTCGAATTTTCGTGATTCAGTTCATTAGTTCATCTTGAAAATAGTCGAATTTTCTAGCTTCTTCAACTGTAGTTACAGGGGGCAATCAAAAAGTACGAGTGGCGGGTTTATAACTATATCGATCTAGGTACCACTTCTACTACTACTACTAGTTTTCTTTTTATAGGCCTTTTAGGGAGGATTTTCATGCATCCGTTTTTCCGTCGAAATATGTCCGTTTAACATTCTATTTTGACATATTTATATACGATTATGTCAGAATAGAATGTTAAACGGACATATTTCGTCGGAAAAACGGATGCATGAAAATCCTCCCTTAGGCACCCATCGTTGAACGTAGGCGTCCTCCATGTTTTTCCAATTGTCTATATTATATGCGAGTCCATCTGAGACTTGCGACTAATTTTTTATCATAGCATTGTCTCATTTCAAATGGCATCTCTTTGTCATAAATTCGGTGACTTTCTTTTTTCTGATTCGGTTATTTCTGATCCATCCATTTATGGGTGTATAAAGATACCTAGAAATAGACGGCTATGAGTTATAAATAATAATATTAATTTGTCGAGAAAACGGATCCTGACTGATGGCAATTGCACATATCACGTTGACTAATCATGACAATATAATATTTCTTGAAAATACATCCGACTATTGTTTAAAATAATCAGACAAGATATACAGTATATTGTTATTACAAAGACAAAAAGCTTCTGCATTATGACCATTGATCATGACAATGACGAGCACGACAAGACAAGTTGACAAAAAAGAGTTGTATAATATGTGATTGACGTAGTTGATGTGAATATAGTCACAAATCACAAGTATCGACATTTTGGCACTTGGGCTAATTTTAAAAATAATTACATCTCAGCACTGACGGATCCAAAATCCAAAAGTTGACAAACCAAAATCAACTTAAACTAAGGCAAATTTAACTTAATTTGAAATGTCGAACGTCTTATTTTATAAGACAAACTTTTTCAGATTGGCGAGCTTCAACTGAGAAAATTAGTTTATTGCGATTTTGCTAATCCCAAAGCTGACCAACGACATTACATCGAAGTAGTCGATTTGGAAAATCTAAAATCGATCACAGAAGGTTATCTTAATGAATTCAATAATATGTCCAAGAAACCGATGAACTTGGTGCTATTCCGATTTGCCATCGAGCATTTATCGAAACTTTGTCGTATTTTGAAACAACCGAGAAGTCATGGTCTATGCGTTGGTGTTGGAGGTTCAGGACGCCAATCTTTAACTCGTTTAGCTGCGCATATTTCCGAATATGAACTATTCCAAGTGGAAATTACACGATTGTATGGCGTGAATGAATGGAGAGAAGACGTTAAAGTCATTCTTAAAAAGGCTAGCGCTTCTGACCAGCACGGAGTGTTTTTGTTCACTGATTCTCAAATTAAAGAAGAAGCCTTTTTGGAGGACGTCAGTAATTTGATGAACTCCGGCGAAGTGCCTAATTTATATAATATGGAAGAAAAAGTTGAGATTTGTGAAAAAATGCGTCAACTTGATAGGCAAAGGGACAAATCAATGCAAACCGATGGCAGTCCTGCAGCTCTTTTTAACTATTTCGTACAAATAGTTAGAGAACAGTTGCACGTTGTACTGGCAATGAGCCCTATCGGTGAAAGTTTCAGGAATCGAATTAGGAAATTTCCTGCGCTTGTTAATTGTTGTACTATTGATTGGTTTCAGGTAAGAATAATGATTAATTAATTCGATTATGTGTACCTAAAGGTGCGTATCGATTATGATGCGAGGCAGCTGCGCGGTAAAAACGCTTGTTCGAGTGCGCGAATAATTTTGAGTTGGTTACCAGCCGAGAACCAATGTTCGACAGTTTGCCGCGCGTAATCGATACGCTCCTTAAGAAACCTTACATGTGAATCAATTCCTGGAAAGCCTGCTTCATTTTTTTCAATAATCTATTTTTATTAAGAGTTGGCCTGAAGATGCCCTAGTCGCCGTTGCAACTAAATTTCTTGGGGAAGTTGAATTAACAGATCATGAACGAAAGGTTTGCATCGCCATGTGCCAAACGTTCCACATTTCCACTCAAGATCTGTCAGATGAATATTTCTTGAGATTAAGAAGATTCAATTACGTTACCCCGACGTCCTATTTGGAGATGATTAATACCTTCAAGACATTTTTATTTAAAAAGAGAAAGTAATTATTTCAAGTTAGCTAAACATTTCATTTCAATTATTATTAACTTTATTTTTTACTTAGGCAATTGTTACAAGGCCAAAAACGTTACGAAATTGGTTTGGAAAAACTTGAAGCTGCTGGAGCCGAAGTATCTGTAATGCAAGCAGCTTTGGAAGCTTTACAGCCTCAATTAGTCGTGGCTCAAGCCAAAGTGGAAGATACTATGAAAATAGTTGAAGCTGAAACAGCCGAAGCAGCCGAAGTAGAAAAAATAGTGATGATAGACGAAGAAGCTGCAAATGAACAGGCTAAAGCTGCGCAAGCAATCAAAGATGAATGCGAAGCTAATATGGCTGAAGCGATGCCTATACTTAATGCCGCCTTGGCAGCTTTGAATACTTTAACTCCTGCTGATATTACTATTGTAAAAACCATGAAAAATCCACCCAAAGGGGTTAAGCTCGTGATGGAAGCTGTGTGCATTTTAAAGGATATCAAACCAGATAAATTACCATTGCCAAGTGGAATCGGAACTTATGATGATTATTGGGGCCCATCTAAAAAAGTCCTAGGTGATATGAAATTCTTGGAAAACTTAATAAATTTTGATAAAGACAATATTCCTCCACGTGTCATGGCCAAACTAAAAGAACAAATTTTGAACGATGAAAACTTTGATCCAGACAAAGTCAAAACAGCCTCGTCAGCCGCTGAAGGTATCTGCAAGTGGGTCATTGCCATATCCAAATATGATAAGGTAGCTAAAGTTGTGGCTCCAAAAAAAGCTGCTTTGGCTATAGCTGAAGACCAATTCAATACTGCGATGGCTTCATTGGAAATCAAAAGACAACAATTACGAGAAGCTAGAGAAAGAGTTGCAAAATTGGAAGAACGTTTGGCGGATGAATCTAAAAAATTCAAAATATTAACCGATGAAGTCAACCTTTGCACTTTAAAGCTTCAAAGGGCTGAAGATCTAATTGGTGGTTTGGGTGGAGAAAAGGATAGATGGAGACTGACAGCTAAACAGTTAGGAGAACAATATTTCTTGTTAGTTGGTGATATATTGATATCGGCAGCCATTGTTGCCTACTTGGGCGCCTTCACCATGCAATTTAGACAAAAACAAATCGAAGAATGGCTTAACTTACTTGAAAGCTATGGGATAGTGACTACAAAAGATTTTCAATTGACTGGTATCTTAGGGGAGCCGGTGGTTATTAGGCAATGGAACATTTATGGTTTGCCCACCGATAATTTTAGTATTGAAAATGCTATTATAATTTCGTAAGTAAATTTTTGAAATTAATTATGTGCAATGGAATTGAAAATATTTTAATTGAATTGCTGTGTCGACCCAAATCGTTTGATGTTGTGTGGTTGGGAAAATATATTTTTAAATTCAAATATTATTGATTTGCTTTTTCTAGTTTGACGGTAGTGTTAATAGACCGGGAGTTAGATATGGGTATGCAAAATGTAAGAACCGCCTTTTATAAATGAGTAGATGAGAAAAATTCAAAAATTACTAATCCGGTTCATTTTTTAGTCCATTTTTTTTTATCCCCTCTTCTCTTACCCATACAGGGTGTCCCACATAAAAGTAACTACATACATGGGGATTTCGGAAACGATAAGAGATAAAATTTTGGTATAATAAAAAAAAAGTTTTTCGAGATATTCGGAAAAAACAAAAATTTTGCAAAATCGATTTTCTTTTTTCCTGAGCTTATTTGAGAAGATATTTAAAAAAAAATGCCACTTCATTGTTGCCACGTTTCCTACTCTAAATGATAACATTATCAATTTTGAAACGTTTAGTCTTTGGTCCACTATCATCAGGTCTGTTCCCACAGGAGTCTCTGACAGTTTGCAAACTGTCGGTAAGCATCGCCCATGCATGTTTTAAATGCTGTGGTTACAAGATAAAACTGTAACTCAGCTGAGCGATTGTTTCTGACAGTTTGCAAACTGTCAGAGACTCCTGTGGGAACAGACCTATAAACTTCATTTTTTTAAATACGGACCCTTATTTTTTATTTTAGATTTTATAGTTTCTGATGTCCCAAAACCATTGACGTAGTACACTTATTCGAAAAATTTATATGATTGGTACTTTCCATAGGAAATTGATGTGTTAGAGACAGAAGAAAATTTTGGTAGGAAATTACTAAAAAGTGAAAAAAAAATATTTTCTCGAATAAATAGGATAGGTACGTCATAGGTTTTGGGACATCAGAAGTTGTTGAAATCTGAAATAAAAAATCCAGGGTCGTATTCAAAACAATAAAGTTGATGGTGTCAGCCCAAAGACGAAACGTCAAATTTCAAAATACATAATGTCATCTTGTAGAGTAGGAAAAGTGGTAACGATGAAGTGACATTTATTTTGAAATATCTTTTCCAATAATTTTCAAATAAGCTCAGAAAAAAATAAAATCGATTTTGCAAAATTTCGTTTTTTTCCGGATATCTCGGAAAATGTTCGGAATTTTTCAAATGCCAAAGTACTATTTTATTGAGCATTGAATTCCGCAACTTTTTTCTCATTCAACCAAAATTGTATTTCTTACCGTTTTCGATATCACCCTGTAGTTACTTTTACCTGTGATACCTAGAGATGGCCCTGAGAATATTCTCCAAAGAACTTCTATTGAGAACAGAGAATTTACCGAGAATATTCTTTGGACTTAAATTCTCGAGAATTTATAATTTTTTTAGGTTCAAGAATTTATGAGAAGATACGGTTATTTTCGAGAATTTATGAGAAATTACCTGTAATTTTTAAATTTATCACCTTGCACTTACAGATAGCACTAGGTTCGTAGTGAGTTGAGGTTGAAATGAAAAACAGAAAACAGTGAGTCCAGGTAAATCCGGTAAATCCCCCGAGTCCATAGGCGTTTTCGATTGGTAGATTAGATTTAATGCGCACTGGTGCCATTGAGTTCTGAGTGTATTTCCAGCTCTTTCTCTCAGCCTGTTAAAGAAATAGATAGAAACACATTTTCTTTGCACTAGGTATTTCTACCAACTAGAAACGCCATGGCCAGCCATAAGTTATTTAATTGTCCCTGCACTATGCAGAGTGCAACGTGTGTGCGAAGAAATATTTAATTATCAACTTATTTAGGCCCGGTTTACTACTTACTAGTACTATCTGCAAAATAAATGTACCGTTCTAGGATTATATTGGTCGGCGGATAACTGGCCGACCAATGAGATTACGGATTGCGTTTTTATCTGTCAGATTGCATACCTGACAGTTTATCAGAAGATGAATAAACCGGCCCTTCGTATTAGTTTTGACTATTTTTGAGGGAATTCCTCCGAAAATAAAATCTTGAGGATTGATATGGAAACATTTCAGACAAAAAAAGGACTACAAAATTTCTATGTCAATTTTGTGCACCAGAAAAATGCAAAAAGCTCCAAATGATGTTAAGAAGCTATATTCTTCGAAATTCTCCAAAATTCTCCAATGTTCCTGAATATTCTCTCAAATTCTCAAAATTCTCTCAAAATAAATTCTCGAGAATTTGCCATCTCTAGTGATACCCTGTATAAAGAAGGTCCATGGAGCATATGCTCCACGTGTTTAATTCAGCTGGTGTAGGCATCGTGGTGAAATGGTAGAAGTGACAGTGTAATTGAATTATACAGAATTTGGCAAGTTGTGATTTGGCATTGGCAGTAGTGAATCGTAATCACCGCATCCATGGCGGTGTAATATTTTGGTGAATTTAGCCACGCTCGGGCTATAAGTGTGATTTTAACCCTAGAATACTAACCCACGTAAATTTTACGTGTGTTTTTTTTTTGATATGCTGCCATTTCCCAAATATGTGATCCAGTCCGCTTAAATTTCAAGAGTGCTTCCCCCAATGGCCCCAATATCAGGCCAGGGCAGTTAGCAAAAATAGAAGAAGTTTTTGCAATCAACCTGATTTTTTCACAGATGATATCGGGTCTTCAAAAAAAAACCAATCAAAGATTGCTTTGATTGCGAAAACGTACGTCGCATTATTGTTTCCTTATTGGTCCGGTTTTTTGACATGACATTTTGACATTAAAGTTCATTGACATAATTGAAGAAAAATTATGCTAAGATATGCGTTTAAAAAACCATAGCAATCTTTGATTGTTTTTTTTTTTTGAAGACCCGATAGTACCCATCAATAGTACTCTGTAAATAAAAGTTACACCTCCTAGGAGGCTTGCTTTTTCCGCCATGATGAATTCAAGATAGCGGCTGGAGCTATTCTTGAAAAAAATCGTAACTTTCTCATGCATTAACCGATTTTCGTCAAGTAAAAAAAAAATACCTTTATTTTTGAATAAAGAATAAAATTAAAATATAAAATTATTTTGATAGGTTGTATTTCTGTCAAAAGAAATAAAAAATAAGAATAGAAATTGAATTGGTTCTCTTCAATTTTCTCTGAACCGTAGGTATGTACTTCTTAGTGAAAAAATTTAAAAAATATGCGCTTTTTTCTCTGATTTTGAAACAGTTTTCGAGTTTGTGATAGGTTGAGTAATTCGCGAGATAAACTTATGCAGGATGTGAATGCTCTATTTTTTGTATACGCTCCCAAAAATAGCTATTTTTTGGACTCATTACAGTCCGTAAATTGCTCTATTTCCGGCCTAGTCCGAAAATCTTCATTCTCGGCCTACATCGTAAAATGCTCTATTTTCGGGCTAGTTCCTAAAACTCGTCATAGCAACCTTGTCAGTTTGCATGTACCTGTCGCACCTGCCAATGCATAATCAGTTTACAATTTTTAATGTTGTCACATTCACTTCACATCTTTGAGCTATTACAAAAAAGTATTGTTTGTTTCACGTACCTAAAATATAGGTTCTTTAGGTACAGTCGTGAGCATAAAAAGTGGGACACACGACTGACAGGTCTTGTCATTTTTCGCTATTTTGGGTAAATCAGTCTTTTCTCTACGATGGATTTTTTGTCAAATATGACAATCCCTGTCATTGTTGTAGGTATAGCTGATGAGCTCGTTTTACAATGGGAAAAAACGGATGTCCCACGTTTTATGCTCACGACTGTACCTACGTGTTACAAAAAATACAATCAAAATACTGCCAAAATAGTTTTATAATACCCGCCCTTAAAGGGAGTGTGACCCAAAAACGAAAGTTTTAGTGCAAAAAAATCTAAGAATAAATATTCAAATCGCATCTTGCTACGATGGTCTGTTTTCGAGTTAGGGCGGTTTAAAGTTACAGCTACGTGTTTGTGAGGTCACACCGAATTATCAGGCACAATATTAACACTTGTAAAATTTTCCAAAACAAAAGAAAATTATCCCACTAGAGCCAATCACAACCACTTAAAGTATAGGGTACGGTTCACTGACAACTGAACGAACAGAATACTGCGATTTCGACGGTTGTGACATCACAAGTTTCTGCATAATTTATCTTCACAAGGAATTTCCTCGAAGACTATTTTGAATAAGGAACCGCGGTTTTCACGAGAGATATTAGATTTTTTTTTTTGATTCAAGTAGTCGGTTTTTGGGGTCACACCCCCTTTAATAAACTTTTTTGCTGTTGTGAATTACTTTACGCAATAGTGCGTGAAATCTATCTTCATGTCTTTTGAATAGTGCGTAAAGAAAGTAGATACTACACGCGCGGTAATAGAAAATAGTTATTTTTGCAACAAGTGTGTAAAGTGAACCTTTTTTCACGAATGTGAATTTTGACGCACGAGCCAAAGGCGAGTGCGACAATCACATGAGTGAAAAAAGGTGCTTTACGCACGTATTGCATATAAAATTTTTTCTACTACCAATCAAATGTAAGTAAAAAAATTAATTTAGACAAATTCTTTACGCACTAGTGCGTAAAGTATTCTCACTTTACGCACTAGTGCGTGAAGTAATTTACCAGAAAAATAATAATTTGACAGGTCGACATCTGTCATTGACATTACTTTACGCACTAGTGTGTGAAGAGAACTACTTTACGCACTAGTGCGTGAAGAGAAATTTTACGTCTTCTGAATATTGCGTAAAGTGAGTACTTTACGCACGGTAGTAGAAAAAAATATTTTTAACTCACTCCCGGCATTTTTCCTTGTACTTTATTTTTCAAATTTCCACAAAATGGGATAAAATTTTGTATACATCACGTGAGTTAAAATGTTTATTCATTCGAAGAAAATTTACCCACTCGCTAGGGCTCGTGGGTTAAACTTTCTTCTCATGAATAAACATTCATGTAACTCACTTGGTGTATAAATAACTATTAACTATTAT